ATACTGCACATATTGTTTGTTTTCCCCCATAGTTTTCTCTCTAATTTTCTCCATTGGGGTTGATATTTATAAAGAAAATCAAAACGAGATGATTTTCAGCTTTAATTTAACAATGAATGGCCCTGTTAACTTTTTTTCTTTGTGAGTGTACGGTTTACAAGGGTCCACAGGGCACTGGAAGGTTGATCATACCCCCATGGAACTCTTTCCATGCTATTGCACTTCATGTCACTACTCATTTGTGTCTGTAATTTGTAAATATAATGTCAGGGCTTAAGGTCAGGAAAAATAATGAGTTCTTCTAGTAAGAGAAGGAGAGAAAAGGGTGAATTTACAGGACCTCTCAGCATCAAACTCACCACTGCCCTTTATTAGAGGCTCTCACTCCCAGCATCCTTCATGCGTCATCCTGGTCAATAATACATGACTCTATGTGGATTCAAATAGGGAGTGTGATGGCAAATTAATGAGCGTTTAGATTACAGCAGATTAAAGAGGTGTGATAAATCCTAAACCAACACCACTTCTCACTTTTCTTAATCTCTTGCTCCCTCTGCAGATATATTAAGAGAATACACCAAGGAGGTTAAGCTTTGCTAATCACATCTTTACATGCTTAACACATTTTATGATTAAACCCCTCCTCCTCTTATTTATTAATACTATTATAGCTACATTGTTCTAATCAAAGGCATATTTGACTGTTAATTTTGCATGCAGTCTTATTTCTAGTTTCAGTTGGGTGATACTGTATATGTATGCTCTCTGGGGCCTGGTGCAAAATGTATGATTAGTCTGTTCTGGTAAGAGGGAAGAGTTAAGCTCTTTGTCTTTTTTATTTTTTATTTTTACTACCCACTTTGAAGAATTGAATGAACACAACAAATGCATTTCCATTAGCAGCTCCTGTTGGATCTCTCTGTCAAACTGTGTTACGGTGAACAATGGGGAAATCCAGTGCGACTGCAACTACAAACATGAAACATTAACACTGTATTCTGAAGGTGCATACTACCAAATTCATGTGTTGTTTTAATGGCAGATATTCTGTATCAGCATCACCACACTGTGTGCACACATACCCATTTGCTTCTCTAATGAAATACGATGTCTTCATCTAGCTCCTCAAAGGAGATTTTTTTCCCCCATTCCCTTTGGTTCTTGCCAAACATCTCTCTTGTGCTGATGTTTAGCATTAGAGGGAATTTACCACCCACTACGGGCTGCAATCCCAAACAACCCAACCATGAGAGAATCACACTCGCACATAGCAAGTGTGCTTTTGCAATTAACATTCCCAGCTGCTCGCACCATTGCTACTTTGGGGTTTAATCTGAAAAAAAAAGAAGAAAACTCATGTAGTGATATTTAAATGTTTTTTATCAGCATCATCATTATTATTGTGAACATTGTATATTTGATTAAATAAGGTAGTTTCTAGGTGATTTCTAATGTGCTGGTAAAAGGCAACCAGCACAAGGGTACATTTCAATGTTTGTTGGTCATTTCAAGGTAATAATGATCGAGCTTCCCAATGCACTCAACCACTAAGTATTTTGGAATTAAAATAAATAATAAGCCATGAATTGTATCCATTGTATAACATAGTTTAATGGTTTTAGTATTAGCAAATGTTGGTGTTCAAGTGGAGTTGTTTTTCTGGCCTTCTAAATGTAAGCTATGGCTGGTGTGGCACCATCCTTTTGGACATGTGTGTCTCTTTAGCTGCTTATGTCATTTAACCTTAAAATATTTGTACTATTTCATTATATTTTCAGATGCTGATCAGTCAGGAAGCAGTGACATTTTCTGAATTATAAACCTGGATAACAGTAGTACAACATTATTGTGTTCATTTCAATTTCAAAACAAATTTATTTGTCCCTAGGGGGCAATTCTATTAGCATTTGAGCATCCCACCCTGTGTGTGCTAACTGCTGTGTGGAAATGATGGTGATGTGCAGGTTCATGGGTTTAACACTTTTTGTTGAAAATGACTGCTGCAGCTACGAATAAGGTTAATGAGGATAGTGACTGTGAACTGAAACAATCAAGTTGTCGGCTGTAAAACCAAAACACTGAGTTGAAAGACACTTAATGACTGACAGATTAAAAAGCTGCATAGAGATGAAATGAACTGAAGAATTCTATGATAATTCTCTAGAACTAACGCATATATTGAATAATGAGATGATCTTACAAAAACAATACGATTCATCTTTTTTTTTTTCTTACAGGGGGTTATAACATTAATGATGTCATGTTCTACTGGACGAGAGGAAATGCGTCTGTCAGTGGTTTGGACACGCTGCAGCTGGCTCAGTACACAGTAGAGGATTACTACACATCTGTCTCAGAAGCCATCTATGAAACCGGTAACAAAAACATTCAAAATCTCTGCATGTTACTCCCACGCTTAAGTTTAGACTTCAATGTGGTATTGTTAAACTATTGAGCCCCCTGTGGGTAGAACTTCTCATTCATGCCATGTTTGCTATTATCCTTCTTCTCAAAGGCCAGTACCCCAAGTTGGTCTTCCACTTTGAGCTAAAGAGGAGCATTCTGTACTTCATCCTGGAGACCTACGTCCCCTCCAGCCTGCTGGTGGTCCTCTCATGGGTTTCATTTTGGATCTCTCTGTCCTCCGTTCCAGCAAGGATTTGTATCGGTAAAGGGCAAAATTATTTTTTTTCACTCAAATGTTAAAATGAACTTGCTAAATGTCATTTACTTTCGCATTGCATCGAAGCTTATCTACAGAACATATTGGGTGTCACTGCAGATGCACTGTTTTTATAAGACAAACAATCTGAACATTTGCTCTTTTTCATCAGCGTTTGTTTACTATTACAAAGATAGAAGAGGCGTTATCTCCTCTCCTCTGAGCATAAATATGAGTTTGAACTGATTTTTATAGGGATACAGTTTGAAGAGAGCATGTGAAACTGGAGTTATCTCATCCAAACATCCAAACTACAGAAATCAACAATAGGTTTTCAAAACAAAGTGACTGCACACTAAGGTCACCAACAGGAAACCAGTCCAGACTGGTTATGAAAACAGGATGGGCACCACAGTGCTGAGTATCTCTAGTTGCAAGGAAAAGCCAGGTGATACCATCTTATTGTGTGCAGTCGACTGTGTGCTCCCCTTTAGGCATAATTGCAAATAGCAGAATGTATTGCAGGTACCTTCTGTCTTCTTGATTCACAAGCATCGATCTACTTATTCCAGAAATCTCAAGCTGTCTGTCTTTCTGTAGAACGCATATCTCAAGAATCATTAATTGTATTGACTTCACATTTAGTGTGTGTATTGTTGATGGCCCAACGAAGTGCGGTGCCAAATGTGCTGTGTTTTAGACACTTCAGTAATAATACTGATGTGATAAACAGGAAGGGTAGTGTGCTTTAATAGTCATTGTGTGGACCAAGTTGAAACTTTCTTCTTCTGTGTCTTCGGACAATTACAGAAGTGGTCGGGAGCTTAACCTGGCCCATCAGATTTTTGATCATTGATGATTTGAATATTTTGATTTGAAAATATTTGACAGACACAGACATTCACAGGTGTGGGTGCTGATCTCCTTCATGGCAACAACATTCATAGAATCACTTCCTCTTTTGCAAGTTGTCTTCAAAGTAAAAGCACAACATTTGTTTTGTTGCTGCAATGCTTCATACGGAGCTGAATTGCAGAGCTTTTATTTGAGAAGTTGTGAACTTGGGCATGGAGATTGTGTCAGTTGTGTAACACACCTCTAGGAAGAAAAGAAAGAAAGAAAACTACAACCAGCATCACCACAGACCAAGCACACAGCCCAAACCAAACAGCCGGGTTCAGAACTGACACTGCACTAGTTCTTATAAAGAAGGATTTTGGGCAATTGTCCACAGATACAGTGGTTGAACAGATAACCTGTAGTTTACCAATATATCTGCGTGTGTTCAAGGAGTGACCACAGTGCTGACCATGACCACTCTGATGATGGGAGCCCGGACGTCACTGCCCAATGCCAACTGCTTCATCAAGGCCATCGATGTTTACTTGGGAATCTGCTTCAGCTTTATCTTTGGCGCGCTCATTGAGTATGCCGTTGCCCACTTCTGCACCCTCTCACACATGGACCCACACATGCTCATGGTGAGAGCCTCCTGACTGTACTTTCTTTGTTGGTCATGTTTGTGGTCATTGCTGTTGTTGTGGTCAGAGTCATTGTCCTCATGATGGTGGTCGTTATCATTGTCGTCACTATCATCATCATCATCACCATGTCATCATGAGCACTTTGGGGTAAGTTGAAAAGTGCTGCACGCTTTTAAATTTAAAAGCCTCATGTCTTTGTTTCCACTTAAAACTAAGTCTACTTTTCCTCACCCTCCAACAGTACCGCCACCAAATGCATGACTTCGATGATGAAATGAACGGCATCGTCACCACCATCTCCACGCATGCCAGCAGAGCTAAGAGACGCAAGGAGCCTGCCGCGACAGCCTCCTCAGCTCCTTCCTCCACAGAACTCACTGTCAGACCCTCCAGCCCCTCGGGCAGCGAGCCAAAGCCTGAGGCGTCGCCACCGGAGCCCGTCAACTGGTGCCTCACTGCTCTGGCCACCCTTCGTAAAGTGCTCCGCTCCATAAACTGCTGTCATGTGGAGAACCCCCACCACATAGACAACTACTCGAGAGTCACTTTCCCCCTGTCTTTCGTCATGGTCAACTTGCTCTACTGGACATATTATCTGTACTTCTAGCATTTGCTCGAGTGCAGCATGTGTCCAAGAGAGCGTCAGACAGAGAGCGTATGTAGACATGAAGTGTTCTTTACTCTAGTTTCATTAAGATGAGTGTGTATTATTTGGCAAATGAGCATTCTCATATGGGGTTGTTTTATGGACAAAATAATGCTTCTGATTGAAGCTACATTTTTATAATAACGTACTCAAAATTACTATTTGGTTTAAATTTCTTACACGTGGATTCATTAACAACAGGGGACCTATCTGGTAATGACTGGCAAGATTTCATCAATTCTGATACACCTTGAGATTTCAAAAAATAGCATGGCCAGTCTGCATCCCTCCTGTGATAGTACACTTATTGTGCAGGTTGTTACCATCTGGGACAGAGAGAAAGGAGCAGTAATTCAAAGCTCTGTGACCAAATTTGCTCGCATTGTCGAGTGAGAACAAATGCCTGTCTCATTTTTACTGTTTATTGTGTGATGGATGGGATGTTACTTAACTTAATTTTCCATTTCTGCCACCAGGTACAGCATTCAAAGTGGAAAAGGAAAAATAATGGGTTGCAGAAGTGATGTAAAAAATGTTATCTTAAATGTAGGGGCCTTTGATCCCTTTACTTATGTTCTAGAAACTTTGCCACTATGATTAATATTATGGAACTTGTTATCACACAAATCTGCTCAGCTCTTTCACAAGGAATGCAACTTGCACACCTTACTGTGGGACTCCAAAATGATAAACATTTATACATCATGAAATTAGAGGGATCTATGATTACATTTGTTATTAATTAGAGTGTAAAGATGACCGCCCACTTTTAAAACAACTGTAGTTCCAGAAGTAAATTTCCCATTTATTTTCTCCATTTGAGTTTTAAGCCTGGAACCAGGTCGACCTGCTACGAGATAAATGACCATAAAATGAGCATTAAACATTTAAATCGGCGCCAAAGGTTTGCTGAAAAAAGCAAAGGTAGAAGACTGTACATAATTATTTTAGGTCTCATAAAACTACTGATGGTGTCCAAAGACTTCCAGTGTGCTTTTTCTTGAATTTAACCTCACAGTGATTGACAGCACATTGGACACTTTTCCTCATCTCCAAAAAAAACACAGCATGTTAGAAAGATTAATCATGGTTGCCCTGTGGCAAAAATAATGTCACATGGAACCATCTGATCATAAGTGACAAGTTGATTTTCGCCATTGTAGTAAATACTTCTAAGGAAACAGCGAGCTCTACCAATCAGACCTGTCACTATTACCCCTGAAGATTGTGACGAGTGTTGTAATTCTCCTTGACATCATACATAAAACATGTATATCCTAAAACACAGTTGATGTTATACAAACTAAGTTTTTGTACAGGAGTCTACATACTTTTTTTGGTCAAACTCACAGCTAATATTAATCTCAGAAATGAACAGGATGTTTTCTACCAGAGCCACTTCTCTATTTCAGTGATTTTAAGACATTGGAGTTGTCACCAGTGCAGAACATTGAACAACTAGCTCGAGCTCGTTAGCTCGAGCACCATTAATGCAAAATGTATTCTTAAACTAGACTTTGAGGTTCCACGGCAGCTAGGCAGGTGCAATAGATGCATTTTATAGTGGAATACAGTGTATGAGTTTCTCTCTCTTGAGGTGCGAGTCGTGTTTCTCACTGTGCTTTTGTAACACATAAAGCAGTAGCCAGACCTAGACGTGTTAGACATTGTAGAGTGATTTGAATATGAATGAAATGGCCAAACTATTTCAGCAGTGTGTCGTCATCTGTGCATTATCGAAATGGTAAAATGTCTGGTTACGCTACAACTGAGTGGCATATAACTCTTTCCCTCAGTATTTGGATGTGAATGTCTGTGAGTGAGTACATGAGTGAGTTGCGATCACGATCAAGTGACACCATTGTTTGGCCAGCCGTGTTATTGGAGTTTACCAATTGGCTGCTTACAAGCACCTAAATAACATAACATATCTAGTAAGTTTTTGCAATTGCTACATAGCGTTAACATAACAGCTGTGTTGTCTCCAACAGTGAAAGCAATACCAATTTTAACTCTTGGTTTTGTTTCTGTTTCTGTCACTTGTAATAGTTGTTTCTACTGATGTTAGCATGCTAATTAGCGAGCCCCATCTGGCCCGTCTTGTCTCTTTCTGATAGTGAGTCAAAGTGCAGGCCAGCCGGTGCAGGCCTACGATATCTTGTCCTGTAAACACAACATTGGGTGAAGCTCTTTACAAGTATATATCATAAACTACTCACCACATTCAGTGGAGGACAAAGCTTATATATCCATTTTTAACGTTCAGGTGATTGAGTATGTTTGTTGCCAGTGACTTGAGCCAAAGAACCAAAGATTCCAGTTTAATCTCACCAATCCTCTTGGTTTCCCTTCAGTTCTTCAACGAGGACATTTTGATTGCATTACCGATAGCATGCAGTCAACGAGCACATGAAGATGACAATATATTTTCAGATGGACAACAGGGTTCAGTTGAAAGACAGAGATGCATGTTTATTTATTGCTGTATTCAATATTGCTGTGACATAATCTCACTAATTTAAATGGAAACTGAACTGAACAGTCCATTTAGGCATAAAGCAAATCTTCATTTTCAAGTATTTTGATCATGATTCAAGTAGCTATCTAATTATGCTCCATTGCCTTTTAAATTCTTCTAGTCATATTTTAGCTGCATTGATTTTAATGTTTGAATCTGTTTTGAAATACGCCATCATTTACCAAACGTTTTGACTGTTCTCTTCGCCTGCCGATATTAGAAAAGTAGAATTTTGTTTCTGTTCTTCCTGCATGATTATTGAGTGTAACTTTTGTTTCTTCTGCTTTATTTGCTTTTCATTTGGTTCAACATGATAAGGAAAAATCATAAAAAGCTTAGCCGAGGCTATAGAAAAGAAAAACGTGTACTTTGATTGCTAATGATGCCACTTTGATTTGGGGTCTCATCTGGGTCCAAGAGTGCAGGATGTTCAAACATCTGTTCTTATTTTCAGTTATTTGAACTTTATTCTTTGAAAGGATGTGTGTTTATTGACGGTTCTTCATTTGCCACCGACTGAGCTGTGTCTGCTCTGATGGTGTCGGTGAGCACTGACCTGCTGAAAATGCAAATGTGATAAAACACTGACTGTCAGGTTTTTTACAATATTGTACCACCATTGTAGTTTTGATAGTTAATCTGCTCAGTAAATATTACAAGACACGAATGCCGTTATGGAGCCAAAGAATCACAAGTTCCAATTCCCCCTACGGCTCCACAGTCACAACTACATTATGAGGGCTGGTTTGCTCTAAGTGGACAGCATTTTGGATGGCTATTAATAACCCAAGGATTGTGCGAACATTACAGAAATAAAGCTATGAAATGGAACATTATGGGCAACATTGCCTGGACATATTTGAAGCAACTTTGCAGCAACTTTGAGCAAACAGATAATAGCAGGAAATGATGGACTGCCCTTTTCTTTTCCTGTTGTGTAAAGTAATGCCTCAAGGTGACGTTGGCTACCAACCTCACAGTTCCTTGGACTTCATCTTTATGTGAAATGTATTTATATACTGTAATACCATGTTAATATAGGCATCAGTTTGCTCAACCTGTTGTAAATAAATAGTAACACTTTGCATGTTTATGTGGTGTATGAATATGAATGGTAGCAATAAAAGAGGTTTAACGTGTGTGTTGTCCACATTGAACTTACTGGTGATGTGGCATTAGCTTATAAAGGTGAAATCATAATTCAGCAAAGCAGTAGAAAAATGTGTTAAATGTTCAAATGTTGAATTGCAGGTGCAGCAGATTAGACTAGCCAGCCTGCAGACATGCATGTATGTGCGTGTGGCAGATGTCAGGGCAGCAGTGTCGCAGTGGGAGTGATGGAGAATGTGAGTCTTAATTCCCTGCAGCACAATCTGAGTCAGTAGAATGTTGAGTCAGGAGATTATCTCAGATCATCCTATAGCCCGCAAACACACACACACACACACACTCAAGCATGTTTTATGGTTAAAATGTAATTTTCTGTCATTTCCTTCAGAGATGCACCACCTTGCAATATTTTAAACCACTTAATTACCAAGAATTATGTAGTATTTATAGTATTTATATTTGGTTGGTTGAAAAAAAAATCCTTTTACCACTGATTCCAGCTCTGTATTAGGACGAACTATTTCTACTTTGTGTTTATAGACTGATATTAAGTGTTGATACTGAATACAGCGTGCATATCCTGTTGATAGACAGACTGTGTACACTGCATTCTGTAGGCTATACATTTATAAACAACAATTGTGTATAATATCCACATCACTAACTCAGCTTGCATAATATATAATGATTTAATAAATAAGATCCTCACAAGAACTGAGCATCTATGAGACATAGATACACTTACCTCAGCAGTTGCAGTACAGTATAACATAAACTGAATCAATCTTTGTAAATTCAAAAACCCCTGATCATCTGTGACGTGTGGTCCGTTTGACCTTCCTCCCTGACCTTCTCAACAAAACTCTGGTACAAATACGTAATGCTTGTTTTCTTTATCATAAAATGGAGTGTCCAGCAGTCAGTCAGGCTTTAATGGTTTGATTTCAGACTCTCTCTGTGTGGTGCTGAAGTGACCTTTCAGTTTTATTGATAAGGGCTTGATCCGTGAACCCTCAACTCCTAAACCACCTTCTTTACCACAGCACCACAAGAATCGAAACGTACTCTCAGATCAAAGGCTGAGCTACTTGGTAAAAACCTTTTCGTTCCCACGTCATCCTGTGAACTATGCAGCCCTGTGAAAGCCTACATGTAATAGTAACACTACTTTAGGCCAGTGTCAGACAAAATACAGTCGTTATCACTTTGTCTCTATCTACACAGTGAAAATATCTGAATGTGCTGTGCTCCAGAAGTTTTGGAGCATATCAAGGTTTCAATATGTTCTGGTTTCTGATGAGTTCAGGGCAAAACAGAACTACATCATCCTTACATTTTCAAATAACACGAAAAACCATAAAAGTTCTTATAAATGAAAAATAAATAATAATGTGCTATTTGTTGGAAGATTATTACATTAGAAATGCTTCATGTGCTTTGTGTACATGTATTGTTTGAATTGTAAATAAAATATGATATCAAATCCAATGGCAGAGAAGTCACTATCTAACAATCTGTTTATGCACAGGAAGAGTTAGCAAAGAAATACATATATATTGTATAATGTACAATACTGTGATGGGACTTGTGTTGCCTGTGACTCAGCTGGTCTGCAGCATTGAATTTTTTTTTTCTCAGCTGTATGTGTAAAGCCAATATCTCCTCAGCACATGTTCCTTTGTTCCTTACATGAGAAATGACAGCGTGTCATAAGTGTGACTACCTACGGGCTGTGGCTGCAAAGTTCACACCCCATCCCATGAAATATCAGTTACGTCAATAACCTGATGAAATGAGTCATATTGCGGAGCCTGTTGCTCGCCCCGCAGGACGTCGAGCCTGAACCTGGTTCAAAGGAGGCGCAGAGGAGAAAGTCATCACGGCATCGAAACAGATCTCAGAGTGTCAAATTCAAGAGAACTGTATGTCAGCGTGAGCGAGGAAAGAAAAGTCTCACAGGAATGTGGATTGATGTGAGCAATCATTTTCCATCACAGTCCATGGAATATCAATAGTGGTCTAATCAAATGGACAGTAGCAGGAGGAAGCGGCCATGAGTAATTACAATTTTACCCAGCAGATAAATGTCTTTAGAAATTGAGATTACTGTCGCAGAATTGATAAGACCTTTCCAAAGCATGATTGCAGTGTGTTTGTGTGTGTGTGTGTTTGAGGATGTGGGTGAAGGATTCTAGAACTAGTTCTATACAGCCACCCATAATAACACCTGTGCTTTTTGTCTTGAGGCCTTGTCATGCTGCCCACTTGCTTCTTTTGTGTCTCCGCACATCAAACATATTCAAAGCTGCACACATCTGCTTTTAGTGTCGCAGAGTAAGCACTGTGACATGTCCGCAGCCAGCTAATTCTGTAAACATGTCACACTGCAAATTGAAATCAGTAAACCATTTAACCTTGCGATACCGTGGCATGTTCCTCCTGACACAGGAGCAACGTGTGCTGTGCTCCGTGTCGCCACGAGATGGCAGTGTGGAATCACAATTCACTGTCAAGTCCACTGCAGTGGAAAAGGAGGCGCACTGTGCAGCAGAGCATGAGGAGATTCACTCACATGTTGATGCAATGGAAAGGATGAGGTGTGATCAACATGTATTGACAATCCTATCGCAATATTTCGAAAGAGTGTTTCTTTTTCAGCTGCTGTTTGACTGCAGTGTTTCCTGTCCGGACAGAGCTGCAGCTCACAGCCACTGGGAGATACATGTGGGGGGAAAAAAATCATGCTCATAAAAAATGAGGTCAGCTTGAGTGAAGGAAAAGTAAATCACAAAGCTGAAACTGTTACATAAGCTTTAATAAGAAACTAAATGAATTGGTGAGACTAATACATTGAACACTTGGTTGATTTTGCTGTTTTATCTTAAAATATATATATAGTTTATTGAAATTTTGTGAGGCCTGATTATATTTATTGGGATTATGATGCTTTACAATTTTAATTACTGGTGGTTTTGTACTTGCCATATAAATTAAATTACTGCAGTTTCACTCGCAAATGAAACTTGCTATATTTAAGGAATGGGATTGGGTGGCTGACCTATGGCCACTCCCTATTTAAGGTGGCGTCTCATTGTCACTAAATGTTTACCTGATTCTCGCACCATTACACTGCATAATACATTTCCTATTGCAAGTTAGACAGTGTGTGGGAGCTCCTTCACAAGATTTGATCTACTCTTCCCTCTCCTAGGTACCTGTTCCATGAAGTGTTATTTAGTTTTTGATATTTTAAAATCTATCATACTGCTTATTACAAAACAAAAATTGTTCTTTTGTTGAATTTATTAAGAAATATTGATTTTGCCCTCATTGTGCCTGTACACCCACCAAGCACTAATAGGAACGCAGGTGCTCCCGCTTATTCCATCAATTATCCAATCAGTCCAATCCTGCAGATATAGATCAGCAGCTTCAGTTAACATCAGAATAGGGAAAAAATAGGTTTTCTGTGTCTGTGGTATCATTTTTGGTGTCAGACAGGCTGGTTTGAGTATTTGTGAAACTTGATCTCCTGGGATTTTCAGTCATAGCAGCCTCTTTGAGTTTGTACCCAGAATGGAGCCAACACAAAAACACTGAGCGGTTGCCCTGGAGATGGGAACGCCTTGTTGATGAGAGAGGTCAGGGGAGAAGAGACACTCTTTACAGCAGAAGAAAACATCCCAGAATGCACAACCATGTCCAACCTGAGGGTGGATGGTCTACAAGAGCAGTAGGCCAATTCCTCTCAGCCAAGAACAATAATCTGAGGCTGCAGACTCAGCAAAGCTAGACAGTGCGAGACTAGAAATGTCTTCATCCAAGTATCTGTATTGCACTGCATATTATTTCAGATGGCAGGGTCAGAGGTGGTTGTCAAAAGTATGAATTCATTGACCCAACTTCCTTTGTGTCAACAGTCCAGACTGGTGGTGATGGTGTAATCATGTGAGGAATGCTCTCTCGTCACATTTTAGGTCCCTTAATACCAATTAGCAATATTAGACAAATAGTCTGAATGTTACAGTCTATCTTAGTACTGTTGCTGATGTTCATCTCTTTAATCTCGTAAATTAACATCTTCTAATGAATATTTCTAGCTTCAGTGTTTCCCATCAATTATCTAGAATGCGGTGACCTGCCATACTCTAATTTCTCCTGCCACAGTAACATAATGAACTCAAACATTTTTGAAACTTCTTATAATAGCATATTAGATCTTTAACCTTTGCTGCATTGTTCAGCTGTGTGCAGCGCCATTTGCCGTGCGCTGGCCCAAGCTATCATCCATTGAGTTGTTACCGTGCACGCAGATAATCAGACCTCATGGTTTCAGCTTAAGTTGTGCCATGCAGCAAAGTTCGCTCTCGTCTGTCACTCTTCAGTCTGTGAACCTGTCACTTGTAATCTGTCGCTCGTGACAGCAACATTCTTGTTCGTGCATGTGCACCTCCACTATTGCTATAAATTGAATGATGAAGAATAAGTGATAATAAGGCTCATTCACTCCCATTTTACCTACTACGCAGCACTTGTATACACATTAAGCCACTGTTTATAACTAATTATGATGACACATACAGTTAATGAGCTATTTAATACATTCAAATCTGTGGAGGCTCATTCAGTCCAATTCTATTGAAAACTAAACACCTGTAAATTCCATTCATATTGAAAGTGCTCACTGATGCACACTGATCAGCTCCGTGACGACGATGGGTACAATTATTCTTTTATTTGCTGTTGTCAAGTTTCCATATTATTATAAAATGCTTTAAAAAATCATGCCTGTGTGCATCAGTGTTCACAGAAATCACTTTCATTTGATCCATCTAATGGATCTCTGGTATTTTAACTTCCACTATTGAGATGTGCAACACAAATAAGTACGTTTTATGTAGAAGGATTTAGGATGTATTTATATAATTTAAACAATAGAATGAAAAATCTAAAATTTTGGCTCAAATGTTACTGGAACAGTTTATCAGAAGAGCTGAATAAGGATGACATGAGCAAGCATCACAGAAACTG